CCACCCCAGAGCTGCTGCAGGGCCGTTTTTGGGGCGTTTTTGTCACAGCCTCCCTTTGTGGTGTCACCTCTGCTTTGTTATTCACCGTGGAGGAAACGCCCCATTTCCCCCGGGGTGGGGAAAAAAGAACACCCAAACCATCACTGGTCCCAAACTGGTTCTTGTTTTTGTTTCAAGCATCTGCAGAGGGGTGGTGGCTCCTGGGCGGCTCCTCTGAGGTGGCTGAGTGGCCCCAAAGTGCCCAAAATTGGCCCCAAAATTGTCCCAGCAGGGTCCCACCCTTCCCTAACCTTATTTTTGGGGTTGTTTTCCCCACTTTAGTGGATGCAGTAAGAGCAAGGGAGGGTTTCCTTGCAGGAAGGTGGGATCTGTGGGATTATTTAAAGGATTTTTAAAGGATTTTTTTAAAGGATTTTTTAAAGGATCAGGGCTCTCAGCAGTCCCCCCTGCACCCAGGGATCCTAAACATGAAGGATCTGAAGTGATTTTCTGCCTCTGGAGCGGGTCCTTTGTAAAAAAAAGGCAAAATTCAGAATTTATTAGGCTGGAAAAACCCTCTGAGATGGAGTCCAGCCATTCCCCCAGCACTGCTGTGAGAAATGAAGTTGAGTTTTTGGTTAGAATTTGAAAAAATTAATGAGGGATAATAGGGGACAAAGGCAATAAAAAGTGGTAGTGTTGGGTGTTTTAGTTAAAAAGTATACTTGTTTATTATGATAATTTTTAATAGCAATATTTTTTATATTAGTTAAATATATATATTTATAATATTTATTAGTTAAATATATATTATATATAGTATTTATTAGTTAAATATATGTTTATAAATGGTTATATATATTTAATTTTTTTAAATTAGTTTTTATATTTTAGGAATTTTTTGATAAGGGGTTTTTTTCATTTTAGAGGGTGTGCAGTTCTGGTGTTTGTGGTTTTGAGGGCTTTTTATTGTGTGGGTTTAACAGGTGACAGTTGTTGACAGTTAAAGTGTTTGTAGTGGGGTTTTTGATGGGTTATGACGTTTTTTGGACTCTCTGTGTGGATAAGTTTTGGGTGTAGGGGCTTTTTAAATTGAGTTGTTTTGTATATTAGAGGATGGGTGTTTTACTGTTTCTGATTAGAGGTTATTTTATTATACATCTAAAGTTTTGGGKTTTTTTTCTGTCACCTTTTGGTGTCAGGGTTTGTGCTGCTTTGGTACCTGATAATTTTGGGCGTACAGTTTCTATTCTGAAGGTGCCAAAAGTGATTTCTTTGAGAATGTGTCCTTCTCTCCAGCTTTCAGTTGTTATTTATTTTATTTTTGATTAGTGAGTAGTGTAGTTAGGGCTTCATTTAGGGTTTTGATTTTTTTTTTTTTTTTTGTTTTTTTTTTGTTTTTTTTTTTTTTTTTTTTTGTAGCTTTTGTATAGTTTTGTTACAGCATGTAACATACTTTTCATGGAAATGTTTCAGTTATAAATTATATTTTAGTTATTGGAAGCTAGCTATAAGTATTTTAAAATAATAATACTAGTTATATTATAATTATGTCTGAACTACAAAAAAAAATTAGTGATTATTTTTCAACTACGTTTGCATAATTACGTTACTTTTATAAAAGGGTAACATATATATATAATATTTATAATATATAGTATTTATTTTAGATATATAATATATATAATATAATACATATTTCGATATACTGTATATATTTTATATATAATATACAATAAAATACATCTTATAATATTTAGTATTTATTTTATATATATTTTATATATTTTATATATTATATAAATTATACAATACATATATATTTTTATTGTTATTTATATATTATATGTTATATATATATTATATGTTTTTACTGTTTATTACATGTATTTATTTTATGTATAATATATACTACAATACATATTATACTATATAGTATTTATTTTATAGATATAACATATATATTTTTGGCAGCATTCCCCAGGAGATGCTCCTTCCACCCCACCCCACACCAGGCTGAGCTCTGTGCATGTCCTTGAACCCTTTCCTGGCCAAAACACCAAAAATGGTTTGACCCCAAATCACCCACGATATTTCCCCCTTACCCCCCGGAGAGGCAGAAGGGAGAGCAAAACCCTAATTTACCCAAAGATTTATGGCTTTTAGGTAAGATAACGGATTGAGAGAAAGATTTCACGCTCCATGGGCTTAAGTTGCAAAATAGATTTATTACTAAAACCGCTAARAAACTTAGAAGAAGGGAAGAACAAAAAGCAGAGGGCAAATTTATGAGAAGGAGGAGAAAAAAACAAATGGTTTAAGACACTTGTTCCTTTCCCCACGTGCACAGGGAGAGCAGGGGATGGRATTTTCTGCTGGGTTMAAACCACGACWTTTTTGGTGYKTTGGYCAGGAAAGGGTTCAAAGCACGGCCAGTTAAATCCGTGCCCTGTCCCGGGCATCCTCCAGCCTGCCAGAAACCCTGGGCCACTTGCCCGCGGACTGAAACCTCTTCCTGTGCTCAAAACCTCTCTGAATGCAAACAGAAAGTGTCGCTGGGGGCTGGGCTTGCGGGGCGGGGGACGAACCCGGCGCTGCGGGGATTTTTGGGGTCCGCACTGCCACCGGTGATGGTCCCACGGAGCTGAGTTCCGATTTCTGTTCTCTTTTGTGTTTTCAGGCAGTGAAGGGCCGGGAGGAGCAGACCTTCCCCTAGAGGCACAGATCGCCGGATATCGGATTCTGGTAACAAAATCCCCTCCTTGTGCTCCCCTCCTCATCCTCACACCCCGGCCGGCTCTGGCGTGGCTGGTTCTCCAAACACTGGCACCAATGCCAGCCTGATTTTTTATAAATCTATAAAGCCTCTCTCCAAACACTCTAAACTTCCCTGAGATAAGCTTGAGCTGGGCATGCCTTCAGCTTTTCCTTAAAACACCCCAATTCCCTTATTTTAGGGCTTGTCCCATCACCCAGGGGTCTCGCTGTGCCCTGCTGTTGTGGGACATCCCCAAAAAAAAACATTTTGGAGCTGGCAGGCAGCCCCAGTCAGGCAGCAGGAAGATGTTTGTGGCTGGAGGAGCTGGAAACTGGAATTGTGCTGCCTCTGCCAGCRCTCACTGCTGGGAGAAGGTGCCGGAAAAACACCCGTGATCCAACTGGAGTGGCTTTAATGAGCATCCCCCGCCCGCCTGGGGTAGAAATGCTCAGAAACAGGAAGCCCCGGCATCCTGTTTAGCGTCTCAGTGTGAGAATTGGCAGCGGGGACAAAGCCAGGGTGGCCGAGGGACAGCGGACACGCGCTGGGCACCGATGATGGGCGGGGAATGAATCCGGCACGGCAGATCGGGATGCTGGRGAGAGCCCGTTCCCGGGATTTGTTGGAACGGCAAATGCCAGGGGTCAGCTCAGCCGGGATCCTGGGGCTGCAGGCTGCGCTCTGGGTGGCCCCAGTGTCACCTAAGAGGCATCCCCTGCTCTGGGGACAATGGCAGCGCGTCCCCGCCCTGGGGTGGCATCTCCAGTCCTGATCGGGTGTGTTCGATGGCATCTCCCGTCCCGATCGCGGTGTGTTCCCGTCCCCGGGATGGCATCTCCCGTCCTGATCGCGGTGTTTTCGCTGGCATCTCCCGTTCTGATCGTGTCCCCGGGGTGGCATCTCCCGTCCCGATCGCGGTGTCCCCGTCCCGGGATGGCTTCTTCCGTGCCCGGGATGGCATTTCCCGTCCTGATCGGGTGTGTCTCCTCTCCGGGATGGCATCTCCTGTCCTGATCGCGGTGTGTTCCCGTCCCGATCGCGGTGTGTTCTCGCCATGGGATGTCATCTCCCATCCCTGGGATGGCATCTCCCGTGCTGATCGGGTGTGTCTCCGCTCCGGGATGGCATTTCCCATCCTGATCGCGGTGTGTTCCCGTCCTGATCGCGCTGTGTTCATCCCGGGATGGCATCTCCCGTCCCGATCCCGGTGTTTTCGATGGCATCTCCCGTCCCGATCGCGGTGTGTTCGTGCCCCTGGGATGGCATCTCCCGTCCCGATCGCGGTGTGTTCCCATCCAGGCATGGCATCTCCCGTCCCCGGGATGTCATCTCCCGCCCCCGGGATGCCATCTCCCGTCCCCGGATGGCATCTCCCGTGCTGATCGCGGTGTTTTCGATGTCATCTCCCGTCCCGATCGCGGTGTGTTCGTGCCCCTGGGATGGCATCTCCCGCCCTGATCGCGGTGTGTTCCCGCCCGCAGCCCGCCCCGGGAGCGCTCCTGGCTCGCCCATGGCTAGCAACAACACTGCTAGCATAGCACAAGCCCGCAAGCTGGTGGAGCAGCTGAAGATGGAAGCCAACATCGACAGGATAAAGGTGGGGACGCTCGGGAGCCGCCTCTGGGAATGCTGGGGGAGCGGGGATGCAGAGCTGGGGGTTTTTTGTGGATGATGCTCTTGTTAAAGTGATTCTGAGGGTCCTGGCTGGAGGCAGGGGGAGGTGCTCACCCTTGGGGATCATAAAATCCGGGAATGGGTTTGTTTGGAAGGGACCTTAAAGCCCATCTTGTCCCAACCTCCTGCCAGGGACACTTTCTGCTGTCCCAGATCGCTTCAAGCCCCAATGTCCAGCCTGGGCACTGCCAGGAGTGAAGGGCAGCTGGAAGCATCACCTGGAGCCCTGTCCCTGTCCCAAGGCATCTCAGCTCCTTGCTAAGAGCTGAAATTCGGGCAGAGAAGTGCTCCAGGGCTGGGCTGAGCTCCAGGGCCTTGGGAGCCACTGCCGTGTTTGGAATCAGGAGCGAGGTTGGTGGCTGAGGGCAGGAAATGCTGCTGGGGATGCTCTGCCAAGGGATGCGTGGGAGAGCCTGCAGGGATGCTGAAGTCAGTCCTTGTCGAGGGAAGGCTGGAAAAGCTAAGAATTGGAATCCACGCTGCCAGGCCAGCTCAAAGCTCAGAGATCAGAACAGCCCCAGCAGGGAGGTGCTGCCGCACCGTCCGTCAGGTTCTCATCTCAGACCCGAAGTTCCCTGCCCTGTCCTGTTGGTGACACCTGTCCAGGTGGGATGTCCCCAGCTCAGCCTGTCCCTAACCCAGCCTCCTTCCCTTGCAGGTGTCCAAAGCAGCAGCAGATCTGATGGCATACTGCGAAGCCCACGCCAAGGAGGACCCGCTATTGACCCCCGTCCCAGCCTCAGAAAACCCYTTTAGAGAGAAGAAGTTCTTCTGTGTGATCCTGTAAACCCTGGAGGAGCCTGACAGGCACTCAGGCCACCCTGAACACTGATGTAGAGTTTTTAGGAATGGGGACGACCTGCTGGTCCGCAGAATTTAAACAAAAATAAGTAAAAAACACGGCCTGGAAGCTACAGAGATGTGCATGTTTAAAAGAACCTGGCCACCTTTGGGGGAATCAGATGATCTGCATTGCGAGGCAAAAGATCTGAAGTCTGTAGAGTTGCCTAGAAAGAGAAAAACAAAACAAAAAAAAATTAATCATGTAAAGAATAAATCTRTGTCACTTTTCTGCTCACAAAATTGTTTGATTGTTCCATATTTAAAGCACCAGAGCTGTGCTGAGCAAAGTTACCTGCTAAGGGTGTGTATAACCTTCTCGGAATGATGTTGTTGGTTTCTTTCCAAGCTAATATTTTTGATTTAAGCTGTCAGCTGTATAGAGACAGGTGAGGTGGCTGTGCTGTTACTCAGTGTTTGGTCTTGTGCTTTTTCATTCCTGGCTGTAGCGTAGCAGTGGGACCGAGGGGACAGCACCCTCCTGTCCCCCTCGTGCTGGCARCTCCCAGCAAACCCCACTTTTTACCATTCTCTCTATGGTTAGCTTCGGTTCTGCGAGTAAAAGTGATTCCTGTGTCGTGCTTGGTGCTTCCTTACCCCCGTGATGACATTCAGTGGTAGTGCATGAGAGTTCAATTCCGTTCATCTGCTCCAGACTTTTCTTTTCTAGCGTTYGGCACCACGTGCTGGTGGAAGGGAGGGGACAGAGGCCATTCTGAAAGCAGAGAGAGCTCCTGAGATGCCTTAGATGTGCCTGAAACACCTCCTGCAACAGGGCAGGTGCCAGCCCGGGGGCAGGGGGAGCCAGAAATCCGAAAATCAAAGCCGACCGCTTCTTTCCRGGTCTTTCCTTTCTCCTACACCTCTGTGCCTGTGCCCTCCTCGCTTGGTCCCGCTCCTTCCYGGTTCCTGGGAGCACTTCCTTCCCTTGGGGCTGCTCTGGAATGTTGCTCCGTGCTGGGATGTTGTTTAGTGCTGGGATGCTGCTTTGTTGTGGGATGCTGCTCCACCGTGGGATGCTGGTCCATTGTGGGATGCTGGTCCATTGTGGGATGCTGCTTTATGGTGGGATGTGGCTCCACCATGGGATGTTGCTTTATGGTGGGGTGCTGCTCCTTTATGGAATGCTGCTCCACTGTGGGATACTGCTCCACTGTGGGATTCTGCTCCATGGTGGGATGCTGCTCCCCCATGGGGTGCTGCTCTCTCATGGGATGCTGTTCCACTATGGGATTCAGCTCCATAGTAGGTTGCTGCTCCATTATGGGATGCTGTTCCACTATGGGATTCTACTCCGTGGTGGGATGCTGCTCCCCCATGGATGCTGCCCCATAGTAGGATGCTGGTACCCCATGGGATGCTGCTCCTCCATGGGATGCTGTTCTACCATGGGATG